TAATGGAGAATCTGAGCCCTCACCTACTGAATCAGAAGCTGCATTTTAAGAAGAGTTGCATGCACATTACAGTTTGAGAAGCACTGGTTCTCCACTGTTATCTCTACCTAACACCACCACTTTATGACAAATATTTTTAATGTAATGTTTTTAATCCTCACCCAGGGGTTTTTTCCCCATTGATTTTCAGAGAGAGGGAAAGACCCAGAAATATCAATGTGAGAGAAACACATTGATTGGTTGTTTCCTGCACGTGTCCCAATCAGGGCCCAGAGCTGGGAAGAACTTGCAACTGAGGTACATGGCCTTGACGAGAATCAAACCCCTTCAGTCTGCAGGCCAATGCTCTATCCATTGAGCCAAGCCAGCTAGGCAAAGTAATTCTTTTGCTAGCCAATCTAATAAAGAGGAATATGCTAATTGACTGTCACACCCTCACAAGCATGGCGGCGCCACACAACCCATAAGGAGGGAATATGCTAATTGACTGTCACGCTCTCAAAGATGGCAGCACCCAGTCCCCTCAGCCCCACCAGGGCGGCAGATGCGCAGCATGGGCAGGCCCGGCGGCTCTGTGCACCAGACTCCAGAGTTCCCCAGTCTCCTCAGTCCCCCAGCTGCCCAGGGCCAACCCGAGGTGCAGGCAAGGCGCAGATGGCAGCTGCCCAGCCACCCAGGGCCAGCCCAAGGGATGACCAAAAGACTGAGCAAGCAGGCTGCATGGGGCGACCAGGTTGGCAGGAGGGGGCAGTTGGGGATTACCAGGCCAGTAGGGAGGGCTGTTGGGGGTGACCAGGCTGACAGGGAGGGCAATTGAGGACAAACAGGCCAATAGGGGGGGGGGCCAATTGGGTGCAATTAGGCTGGCGGGGGGGGGGGCAGTGAGGGGTAACTAGGTCTATGGGGGGGGGCAGTTAGGGGCAACCAGGCCAGTAGAGAGGGATCACCAGGCTTATGGGGGGGAAGTTAGAGGTGACCAGGCCAGCAGGGGGAGGGCAGTTAGGGAGGATCAGGCTGGCAGGCAGGTGAGCAATTAGGAGCCAGCAGTCCAGGATTGTGAGAGGGATGTACAACTGCCAGTCTAGACTGGCAGTCGGCCATCCCCCAAGGAGTCCCGGATTGGAGAGGGTGCAGGCTGGGCTGAGAGCCTCCCACCCCCACCCCGTGCACAAATTTTGTGCACCAGGCCTCTAGTCTTTAAATAAAATTAATCACCCACTTACACACGAATCCAAAAAAGAGACCAGTAGACTGATTTGATAACAATAATGGGGAACAAAAAGGGAAGATTTATAAGAATTATATTTCAGTATATAAATGTTCAACACAACTAAATTAAACATGTGAAGAACAACCCAAGTATGCAGAGGGGGTGGTACCATCCAGATGAGAACTACTGATCTGCAATCACTGTCATCCTTCCATCTCTCCTTTTAAAGCTGAGGAATTCTCTTTTTAAAAACCTTCCTCCCCACATTCCTCCCTCTGCCATAAACATTGCCAAATCTTTAAATACTGCAACAACCACAAGACAACTCTAGAATCCTGCCCCAACATGTCCCTCCAGCTTGATAATCAAACTTATCAAACACTGTGCATATTTACACATCTCTCAAGCATCAACCATATTAATCTAGCTTTCACTCCCATCAGTAAACCTGTATGTACCATGGAAGCTTTCCAAATTGCCCAAATCACTGAACACTTCTCCAAATTCAATTAGCTTATCTTTCTTTTTAAAAAATATATATCTTATTGATTTTTTTACAGAGAGGAAGGGAGAGAGCTAGAAACATCCATGAGAGAGAAACATCGACCAGCTGCCTCCTGCACATCCTCTACCAGAGATGTGCCTGCAACCAATGTACATGCCCTTGACCGGAATGGAACCTGGGACCTTTCAGTCCACAGGCCAACGCTCTATCCAGTGAGCCAAACCGGCTTCAGCTTGCCTTACTATTTAAACAATTGGGTTTTCCCGGCTGAAAGTGTCCTAGCATAGCCTGTCCTTGAATCTTTCCTCCCTTCATCTTCCAAACATCACTGTTTTGTGCTTCTACTTCTCCGAAGTTGCTTCTCCAATATCCCCTCTTCCTCTGGCCTCCCCTCTTCCTCTGCCTACTCCTTGTATTCTGGTATTCTCCAAGGTTTCTTGCATCTTTTCCACTCCAGCTGCACGTTTGAATCATTTCAGCTCACTCTTTATTTCCCTGACACAGCAGTACTAATTCCTGGCATTGCCCCCAATGGAATACCAATGCTAATGTTCCCCAACTCATCCAACTCAGGAAGTCCTACTAGCCTTTCATAAGTAAACTTAAATGTCTCCTCTTTTTATACATATATATATTTTTTAATTTTTTTTTTTTTTTACAGAAAGAAAGGAAGAGGGATAGAATTAGAAACATCAGAGAGAGCCGAAACCGGTTTGGCTCAGTGGTAGAGCGTCGGTCTGCGGACTGAAAGGTCCCAGGTTCGATTCTGGTCAAGGGCATGTACATTGGTTGCGGGCACATCCCCGGTAGGGGGTGTGCAAGAGGCAGCTGGTCGATGTTTCTCTCTCATGGATGTTTCTAGCTCTCTCTCTCCCTTCCTGCCCTCTGTAAAATATCAATAAAATATATTTATTAAAAAAAATCGATGATAGAGAAACATCAATCAGCTGTCTCCTGCACACCCCCTACTAGGGATGTGCCCGAAACCAAGGTACATGCCCTTGACCGGAATCAAACCAGGACCCTTCAGTCGGCAGGCTGACGCTCTATCCACTGAGCAAAACCGGTTTTGGCTAAATGTCTCCTGTTTGAAACCTCTCCTAAAATCCCCATGGGTTCCTTGCTTTTTTGTGCCAGTTCTTTGGCTGTCTGACGAGCCCTACGGACCCCTTCTCAAAGTAATGCCTCTAACTGCATAAAACGCTAATTATATTGCAAGTTATAAAACCTGTAATGTGATGTGGAAAAGTCTGGGACTTGCATTGGTTTTGGACTTCTGGTGACAGATACTGCTAATACTACTGGGACTTGTTGCTATAGCAACTTAATAAATTAATGGCTCCTACTGAACCACACCTCCTTATATCCATGCTCTTATGGAGTCCCCCACCACACTGACTCTGGGGTTGGTCATGTGACTTGTCTTGACATCAGCAAATGCGATGCAAGCCAATAAGTCTGTACACTGAGACCTGCCCTCTTGTAACCTAGCAACCATGGGAGGAAGCTCAAGTTAGGCACATTGAGGAGTACCACGCCCCCAGACCTGGGAGTAAGACCGCTTTGTATATAGCCACCAACTGAATTCATCCGCTGGCACATGCCAGCAAAACTGCCCAGCCAACCCCCAGTGAGAATAAGTCAGCTGTTTTAAGGTACTGGCTTGCAGTGGATCATTCTCCAGCAATACATAAATGACACAGTTATCTCCATTCATAATAGAAGTTGCTAAATTTCAGTAAGAGATTGGTGAAAAAGAGTATTTTCCCATCAGACATCAGGGACTCCCTAGATTCTATCCAAACACTTTTGAGGGGATGGGGACCACTGGTTAAGAAGCCCTGGTTAGCTGAAACCGGTTTGGCTCAGTGGAGAGAGTGTCAGCCTGCGGACTGAAAGGTCCCAGGTTCAATTCCGGTCAAGGGCATGTGCCTTGATTGCGGGTACATCCCCGGTGGGGAATGTGCAAGAGGCAAATGACCGATGTTTCTCTCTCATCAATGTTTCTGACTTTCTATCCCTCTCCCTTCCTCTCTGTAAAAAATCAATAAAAAAATATTTTTTTTAAAAAAAAAGCCCTGGTTAGGCAGAATAGATCTTGCTCTCCCTTTTACTACCACACAGTACATTGTTGATACCCATGTAAACTGATCACAGCATATCCTTTGTCATTGCAGCCCTAAAGCTGAGCTGAGCTTCTAGCACATAATAGGTAGGTGTTCAACACAGAGTAATCAAATGAAAGCAAGTTGCCTGGGATCTGCCATCCTGATTAAACTGTAAGCTGCCTGAAGACAAAATAAAAGTGAATGCTTAGATGGTAACTCTATGTGCCAGAAACCCTTCCAAGTGCTTTGCCCTAAATTATAACAACCCTATGAGGCACATGCTATTTCAATTTCACTAGTAGAAAAACAAGTACAAAGAGGTTAAGTGACTTGCTCAAGGTCACACAGCCAGGAAGTGGCAAGGCCACGGTAAGAAGGCAAAATCTATTACTCTGATTTGATAGCCTATATTAATGCACCCAAAGCACACTGCAGGAGCTCAATAAGTTTTGAGCAGTATTTCTGAAATTTCATTAGCATTATTTAATGGATGTTCTGCTTTTTGCAGACAAATTTCTGGTACCTTGTGATCTGTTTTTCAAGACAGAGACTATCATTTACTTTTTTAAGTAGTAGAATAATAACTTTGTTAAAATGCAGATTTTCGATAAAAGTTTTCACTGTACAAGTCAATTTCTTTCAAAGGACACGAAGTTATAAAATGTCAAGAAAGAGGTCGAGTTGTCCACACTAAATAATGTTCACTAAGGAGGGGAGCAAAACTCGGCTTCCCCCCTCCCCCAACTTCTCCTAGGCCAGCGACCCCCACATCCTTCTCAAGAGGGTGGCCCTCCCCCATTCATACACAAGGTTCTGAAATCTGACCCTGCCAAGCAACCAAAGCCGAACCCCGCAGAGCCCCGAGTTGGCCTCATTCTACCCACAAACCCCGGAGGCACAGCGGGGAGAGGGTGGGTACTTTGGGGGGTACTTTAATTTTTCAAAGTGTTTTAATCACGAGAATACGACCCAAATGGCCCCACCCACCCTCCCCGGAGTCTCACGCCTCCGCCCGGCAGCCGTTGGCTCCGAGCGGACAGGTGAATGAACCGCGGCACCAAGATGCAGCCGGCCCGGAGGCGGGAAAAACCTCAGGGCCAGTAGGCCTGGTCCCCAGAGAGGCTCCGGGACACCGGGAGGGAGCGGTGACAGATGTGACCCGGCTCCACGCTCTCACCTTGAACATGTCGCTGGCAACCGCGGCTCCGGCGGGGTCACCCCGACCTAGGCCCCGCCCACTAGAGAGAGGCGGCTACGGCAGCCGGATAGGGCCCTGATTCTTCCTACCGCCAGCCGACCGCGGAGCGGGTGGTTGTCGTGGTACAGCCAAGTTGGTCCCGCGAAAGCTTAGTTCGGAAGCGAGGGTTAGAAGCGACGTCGCTAAGCTGCAGCGCGTCGCGCGTCGCGCCTCGCGCGACGGGCGCGCTTAAGCCCGCCTCCCGCAGGCTCCGCCCCTGCGCAGGTGGTTGCTAGGCGACCAGAAAGCGCCTGCTCAGTGTGGGAGCGCGGAGGGAGGCGCAGGATGCCTCGCGGCACTAGGACGAGGCTTTCGCCGTCCTGATTGGCTGAGAATCTTGTGCGCGAGGCCTCCAGGCGAGGGCGCCCGAACGGCCTCGGGCAGCTCGGAAAGCCTCGGACCCGGAGCCGCCGACTTCGGGGCGCCTGGATTTACCTCTCAAAAGGTTTTCAGATATATATATATATATTTTTTTACCTTGGCTGGAGTTTCTGAGGTCTTAAATAAGGTGACCAGGCTTCCCGCTTTTGGCGGGACAGTCCCGATTTTGAACAATGCGTCCCTCGGCGTTTTAAAGAATCGGGACTTTTTTTAAAACGCCGCGGGACAAATTGTTAAAAATCGGGACGTCTGGTCACCGTACTCTTACACTAATTTGCTATGTCCTTTAGTCTCTAAAGGCCCTAACCTTTTGTTTTCTCTTTGATATACTAAGTGCATGCCCTTCACTGGAAATCCCTTAATACTAGTAGAAATAAGTAATATCCTATGCACAAGGATAGTAAGCTCTCACACGGCGTTTACTACCGTATGTACCCAGTTCAGCCCTCAACTACTTACACATACTTATCTAATCTTTTGGACAACCAAAGTAGATGGGCATGGTTGTTTTTCCCAACCTAATAGATGATAAAACTGAGGCACAGAGAAGTAATTTGTACAAGGCCACACAGAAGGAAACTGGGAAGCCAGGATCAAACCTAGTCTACCTTTAAAACCTGTGATCTCACGCAAATAATTGGTATAATGTGTCATAATGGGGCGGGGTGGGTGTTCATATTTCACCCTGTGTTTCATGCCCTAACCCCATAGAAAGTGTAAAGCCATCCAGGCAGCCATCTGGAAGATGTGGGAGGTTTGTGTGGTGGCATGTCACTGCCCTCCAGTCAAAGACCACTGGGAACACCAGTACAGTTAAACAACTTGGGTCTATTTCTCATTGCTGCAAGGAAAACGCACACTTTGGGACACAGTGGGGCATCTCAGTAACAGGGTGTTAGAAAGATTTATTATAGGATTTGGACTTTGGGTGATTTGGGGGGGCCAGTTAAAGGAAACGGGGCTTTGCTCTGGATTGGGTATGGTTAGGAAGCCAGTGTAACACCAAATCCCAGCTGTGAGTACCAGGCCAGTTCCCAGATGTTAAAGGCTGTTTTTCTCCTGAAGTGAATAGTATGTTCCAAGCTACCCCCATCCACATACTTAAAGAGAAATATTGAGAAGACTCTGAAGGCTCTGCATTAGTAGTAGAATGACATCTTATATAATAAAAGCCTTATATGCAAATTGATCGTCAATCCAACACAAGATAGCTGCCTCCAAGTGGTCAAAGATGGCCACCACAAGATGGCCAGCAGGGGAAGGCAGTTGGGAGGGACCAGGCCAGCAGAGGAGGGCAGTTGGGAAGGATAAGGTCTGCAGGGAAGGGCAGTTGTGGGAGACCAGGCCTGTGAGGGTGGGCAGTTGGGGGTGACCAGGCTGACAGGGGAGGGCAGTTAGGGGCGACCAGGCCAGCAATGGAGGGCAGTTAGGGGCAATTGGGCTAGCAGGGAAGCAGTTAGATGTTCATCAGGCTGGCAGAGGAGTGGTTAGGAGGTGATCAAGCTAACAGGCAGAAGCGGTTAGGGGCAATCAGGCAGGCAGGCAGGCAGTCGAATGGTTGGGAGCCAGCAGTCCTGGATTGTGAGAGGAATGTCCCAGATTGGAGAGGGTGCAGGCTGGGCTGAGAACTCCCCCACTTTCATGAATTTCATGCACTGGGCCTCTAGTATGTATATAAAAATGTGAAGTATAGTGATAAATTAGGGCAGAAGTTTTTAATTTGGGAAGTATGTGAACTTGGATGGGGGAAAATTACAACTTGAGCCGGGACTGGTTTGGCTCAATGGATAGAGCGTTGGCTTGGAGACTAAAAGGTCCCGGGTTCGATTCCGGTCAAGGGCATGTACCTTGGTTGCGGGCATATCCCCAGTAGGGGGTGTGCAGGAGGCAGTTGATCGATGACTCTCTCTCATCGGTGTTTCTAACTCTCTATCTCTCTCCCTTCCTCTCTATACAAAATCAATAAAATATACTTTAAAAAAAAAAAAAGAAAATTACAAGTTGATTTTTACTAACCTCTAACTGAACTTTACCATTTCTTTCTATTATAGTGCAGGCAACAAACCATGGTAATATCAACAGTACCTGTAAGAGAAAGCACAGATGTCTTCATATCATGTTTTAGTCATGGAAGATTTCTTGAGATATCATTTCTACTCATTTACCACTTCATAAGTACAGTAGTGATTAGAACTCTCCTTTTATTAAATGCAGAAAGAAGGCATATATTTCTGTAATTTGTTTTTTTTAAAATATTGCGACAATGATTTCAATATAATTGAAGTTTTCTGGAATCCTATATATATATTATGTTGTGCCTTTTTAAAAACATAGTTCTTCCACCTGCCAAAACCGGTTTGGCTCAGTGGATAGAGCGTCGGTCTGCGGACTGAAGGGTCCCGGGTTCGATTCCGGTCAAGGGAATGTACCTTGGTTGCGGGCACATTCCCAGTAGGGGGTGTGCAGGAGGCAGCTGGTCGATGGTTCTCTCTCATCGATGTTTCTAGCTCTCTATCCCTCTCCCTTCCTCTCTGTAAAAAATCAATAAAATATATATATTTAAAAATAAAATAAAATATATTTAAATATTTTTTTTAAAAAACATAGTTCTTGGGAGGAGTCTGCCCATAGGGATTTACAATACCAAAAGAAAAGATAAAGATAAAGAGCCCTGGCTGGTTTAGCTCAGTGGATAAAGGGTCCCAGGTTCGATTCTGATCAAGGGCATGTACCTTGGTTGCAGGCACATTCCCAGTATGGGGTGTGCAGGAGGCAGCTGATGGATGTTTCTCTCTCATCGATGTTTCTAACTCTCTCTCCCTCTCCCTTCCTCTCTGTAAAAAATCAGTAAAATAGATTTGAAAAGATAAAGAGCCCCTGGTTTAGTAGAAGAGACTAAGCAGTGACTAAGAATTTGGGAACTTCATCCAAACTGGAGTAATGCTTCAAAGGATAGAAAATCAGAGATGGAATCAGGTCATTGAGTACAGTGGTTGGCAAACTCAGTCAACACAGCGGCAAACCGAGGCTCGTGAGCCGCACGTGGCTCGCGAGCCGCAGTTTGCCAACCACTGATTTAGTACACTATCTCATTTTACCAAGGTGGGAACTGTGTAACTGAGAGTTTCAGGCAGCAGTCACCAACCGGTGGTCCACAGACCACTGGTGATCCATGAGGTCTGAAAGGTTGGCGACCACTGGTTTAAGGGACTTGCCCAAAGTTTCACAGCTATTCCATGACAAACCCGGAGTGGAAATTTTTTAGACTAGCATGTGAAAACCCTTCACTCTGCTAGGCATTGGGGATTCCATAGTTAGCAATATGCCTCCTGCCTTCAATGAACTTCTTGGGATGACAGCCAAGCAAACAAATTATAATGCAATATGAGAAGTGCTATAAAAGAAAAACATGTACAGCACTATGGGACCTTGGAGATCGGAGTGAGAAGTTCTGTGAAAAGAAAAGAAAAGTTGGAAAACAAGAGAAGAGGCATCAGTTAGCTAGGGTCTTCAAGGATGACTTGGTGTTTGCTGGTGGCAGGGAAATCATTTCGGGCAAAGGACATAACCTGATCAGCAGTCCAGAGTTGTAAAACATTGACTGGTTTGGGCAAGAAGTTCCTGTTCTCACAGAGTGTAGCGAGGAATGCTGATGAAAGTTGGTATTTTGAGGTTTGAGAGAGAATGGAACTAGATTGTGAAAAGGCTGGAATGGCATACTTGGGAGTCTGGACTTCAGCTGGGAGGAAATGAGGTGTCCCTGAAAGATTTTGTTTTATTTTTTAATAAATTTTATTAACTTCAGCTGAAACTGGTTTGGCTCAGTGGATAGAGCGTGGGCCTGCGGACTGGAAGGTCCCAGGTTCGATTCTGGTCAAGGGCATGCACCTTGGTTGCAGGCACATCCCCACTAGGGGGTGTGCAAGAGGCAGCTGATCCATGTTTCTAACTCTCTATTCCTCTCTCTTCTTCTCTGTAAAAAATCAAGAAAATATATTTTAAAAAATAAAAATAAATAAATAAATTTTATTGACTTCAGAGAGGAAGGGAGAGGGAGAGAGAGAGATAGAAACATCAATGATGAGAGAGAATCATTGATCGGCTGCCTCCTGCTCACCCCACACTGGGGTTGGAGGCCACAACCCAGGCATGTGCCCTGACTCAGAATCTAACCGTGACCTCCTGGTTCATAGGTTGATGCTCAGTCACTGAGCCACTGTGGCCAGGGCCTAAAATATTTTAAGTTGGGGAGTGATAAGGTTGGGGTATTGCTCCAGAAAGTTAACTCCAGCTGCAGGGTGTACAGTGAATAGGAGGACAAAGAGCCTGGAGACAGGGAAACCAGTTAGAAGGCGATTGGATAGATCCCTTTGTCTTTCCCATATTCCTCATGATATTTTTAGTACACAAAATGTACTAAAACTGTAAGCAATATTAAGAGATACATGATGCCTTCCTTTTTAAGGGTTCTGGAATTAGTACAACAGTCAATGACACTTGAGTCTCATCCAAATAGTGTAATAATACAGATTATGATCTCAAATGCTTAATTTGTATACTTTCAGATTACTTCATTATAAGAAAAATGAGTAGTTCCGCAAAGATAGAGGCCACTAGTAGTGAAAAATCAGTTCATCCAACGATGGTAAAAGGCCACAAAAAACATCCTTTTCCACGTACTAGAAGGACGAGGCCAGTACGACCGTAAGTAGCCAAATTTCGCCTTGTATCATTTTCCACAACTGGACAGTTTACATATGGTATTTACTTAGCTAACATCAAACACTTCTTGTTTGTTTGTTTGTTTTTTAATATATTTTATTGATTTTATACAGAGAGGAAGGGAGAAAAATAGAGAGTTAGAAACATCAATGAGAGAGAGTCATCGATCAGCTGCCTCTTGCACACCCCCTACTGGGGATATGCCCGCAACCAAGGTACATGCCTTTGACAGGAATCAAACCCGGGACCCTTCAGTCCCCAAGCCGACGCTCTATCCATTGAGCCAAACCAGTCCCGGCAAACACTTCTTGTTTTGTAAATTATAGATTTTTGTGTTTTTAAATTACTTTTGAACTGGGTAATTATTATAATTACTAGAGGCTCGGTGCACGAAATTTGTGCTCTCGGTGGGTGGGAAGGTCCGTCAGCCTGGCCTGTGCAATCCAGGAGCCCTCGGGGGATGTCCACTGATGAGGGAGCGAGCGAGCCTAAGCCAGCAGTTGGAATCCTTAGCGCTGCCACAGAGGCAGGAGAGGCTCCCGCCACCAGCTGTGAGCCCACCTCAGGGCTTCTGGCTGAGCGGGGCAGCTCCTGCATTGAGCATCTGCCCCCTGGTGGTCAGTGTGTGTCATAGCGACCGGTCGTTCTGATGTTCGGTCGATTTGCATATTAGCCTTTTATTACGTAGGATAGTGTTTCATAATTTATAAAGCATGTTAACGCACATCTCTTTGATCCCAACACAACCCTATAAAGCTGTCTTGTTACATTTTATAAGTGAGGAAGCCGCAACTGGGAGAAGGTAGGTGGCTTGCAGAAGGTTAGACAGCTAATAAATGGCATTGGCTCGGAGTCAAAGGACTGTTTCCATACTCCAGGCTTTTTGCACTCTCCACCTTGTAGCCTGTGTTTTGCCAACCAACAGTGACGCTATACAGGGAATACCTCTCTTTGTGCCTGTAGCCCTGTGGGATTGGGAGGTTGGGGAGAAGGAGATCCCTGTGACCTGCCAGTGCTGGGATGTGAACAAAAGTAAAATAATTACCTGACCTGACTAGGATGAACCTGGTTTAAGCATAGATCACAAAGGAGTTTCTTTTCTATGGCTGGTCATCGGCTCTCAGGAGAGAATTGGGTCTACTATAAACCTCAACAATTCCACATTGTATTTCCTTAGCACTTGAATTAGTTGGGCAGTGTCTTTTTGTTAATCCTCACCTGAGGATATTTTTCCATTGATTTTTATTTATTTTAAAAATATATATATTTTATTGATTTTTTACAGAGAGGAAGGGAGAGGGATAGAGAGCCAGAAACATCGATGAGAGAGAAATATTGACCAGGAGCATAAATTCAGAGTTCCCCAAGATTTTAGGAAAATGAAAACAACTTCACAAATCTTAACCTCTTTTTTTTTTTTTTCCTCTCAGATCTCGTAAAGATATTTCAGCTCTAAAGATACAAAGAGCTTGGCTATCTTATATGGACAGGTCAATATTTCAACTCCTAAAGCATACAATTTGTGCAGCAGTATGTATCTTGCTTTCTGTTTTCTCTGTCAGATTTAATTACTTATCAAGCTAAAGTATCTGTTAACTAAGGATAAAATATGTAACTTTTCCCCTCCTATTTAAATCTAATATTAAAGGTTCTGAGATTGCTTCTTTGATACGCCCTAAATGAATATTTCTGGATTTATTTTAACATACGTTGACTATTATTTCTTGCATATTAGCCTTTTATTACATAAACCCACATGATATTTTTTAATATATTTTATTGATTTTTTACAAAGAGGAAGAGAGAGGGACAGAGAGAAACATCGATGAGAGAATCATCGATCAGCTGCCTCTTGCACACCCCCTACTGGGGATGTGCCCGCAACCAAGGTACATGCCCTTGACCAGAATCAAACCTGGGACCTTTCAGTCCACAGACCGACGCTCTATCCACTGAGCCAAACTGGTTTCGGCCACATAATATTTTTTAATTCAGTTTATTTGAAGATATGAGACAGTGATCGCCCAACAATAAAAATCTCAATTAAAAATGCCCTTACCACCCTGGCCAGTGATTTCAGCATCACCAAGGGTTTCGGGTTTGATTCCCAGTCAAGGGCATGTTCCTGGGTTGCAGGTTAGATCCCCAACCCTAGACCAGGTGCATGTGGGAGGCAACCAATCGATGTGTCTCTCACATTAAGATTTCTCTCTCTCCCTCCCACCCTCCCTTTCTATTTCTCCCCTTCCCTCCCTCACTCTCTCTAAAAGTTAATGGAAATATCCTCAGTGAGAATTAACAACAATAAAAAGGGAAAAAGTGCCCTTACGTTCCACCTAGCAATTTCACTTCTAGGACTACTCTGTAATCTATGTACCGTTTCACTGCGGATTATTATTTGTAATAGCGAAGGAAGGAAAACTATGTAATGTTCATCAATTATATGGTTAAGTAAAGTAAGTGTTGATGCTTTCATAGTGTTAAACCTTGAAGCCTTGCATGTAATTCTGTAGTGGAAAGATAGCTAAGATATTGTGCTAGTAAAAAAGGCAAGTGCAGAACAGTATAAATAATAGAGTCCTATTGGAATAAAATGAAATGCAATGAACAACTCTGTCAACCCAAGCAAAGTAGTAGAACTTCCATCACACAGTACCAAATACTTTCCTAATAAAATCACCCATGATTACAGTAGTCTATTATTAGTAACTAGAGGCCCGATGCATGAAATTCATGCGAGAGCAGGCCTTCCTTCCCCCAGCTTCAGGCACCGGCTTCCCTCTGCCCACCGGCAGGCACCCAGGACCCGGCTTCTTCCGGAAGGTTGTCCGGTCTAATTAGCATATTACACTTTTATTATTATATTATAGATAGTCATATTAAGGGAATTTTAGCCCCCCCTTTTTTTTAAATATATTTTATTGATTTTTTTACAGAGAGAAGGAGAGAGGGATAGAGAGCTAGAAATGTCAATGAGAGAGAAACATCGACCAGCTGCCTCTTGCACACCCCCCACTGGGGATATGCCCTCAACCAATGTACATGCCCTTGACCGGAATTGAACCCGGGACCTTTCAGTCCGCAGACAGATGCTCTACCACTGTGCCAAACCAGTTTCGGCAAGGGAATTTTAGCCCCTTGGAAAAAAATCACAAAGTCTCAGCTCTGTGTATACCTGTTCACCATCTGACTCCACAGACATAGTTGTGGTGTCAGTGACCGCAGAATACCTCAGAGAAAACCCACCCAGGTCAACTTGTGACATTGCAGGTTCATTGTCCATCATCTTCACATACGGAACTTGTATTTAAGTATGATTATTCTGGTTTTATCATTTTAGATTCTTTTAGTGACAGAAAGAAGGAAATTCTTTTTTTTTTCATGTTATCCTAATATTTCAAGTTAATACCTTACGTTAATAATGCTTTGTCGTTTTAAAATCCCTTTGGCATATATTTGTATGTGATTGGCATAGGCATAAATGTTGGACAGGGTCATATGGGGAGAAGTGGGGGCTTTAAAGTCAAACAGGTTGAAGCTTGAATCCTGGCTTCCCCACTTACTACCTCTATGCCTTTGGATAAGTTACAGACACTCCCAGAGCCTCAGCCTGCTCATTTGTAAAATGGGAACGATAATCCTACCTAATAAAAGAGAAACATGCAAATTGACCACACCTTTGCTACGCCCACCAGCCAATCAGGGTGAACATGCAAATTAACCCAATCAAGGTGGTGGTTAATTTGCATATCCAGGCCAGAGAGAAGACTGAAGACAGCGTAGAAAGAAGCCAAGCCAAGCGCTGCAGAAGGGAGCGAAGCTGCAGAGAAGCAAGCAAGCAGGGCGGGGAGAAGGGAGGGAAGCAGGCGGGGCAGCGACCTCAGCAGGAAGCCCAATTGCAGGAATCTTCCTGCAACAGGCCTCTAGGATTCAAATAATATTGCTGAGTTGTAAGGATTAGATGAGGTTATGTGTATAAGGTACCTAATGTAGTATGTGGGATATGAAAGTGCTTAAGAGCTAGTAACAGTACTATGATCATCCTCATTTACAGTGATTCATTCAATATCAAATATTTTGAAGCACCTGCTGTGTTCCAGGTGGTGGGAATATAGGGATAAAGAAAAAGGACACTGCCCCTACCTTCATTAAGCTTGTACAGTCTAGTAAATGGTTGGCAAACTCATTGGTCAGAAGAGCCAAATATCAAGAGTACGATTGAAATTTCTTTGGAGAGCCACATTTTCTAAACTTAAACTTCTCCTAACGCCACTTCTTCAAAATAGACTCGCCCGGGCCGTGGTATTTTGTGGAAGAGCCACACTCAAGGGGCCAAAGAGCCACATGTGGCTCTGGAGCCACAGTTTGCCGACCATGGGTTCAGTAGGAGCTAAAAAGGAGTTGGTAGTTCATTACAGTACATTGTGAGAAGTGTTAGCATAGGGAAAGAACAGTGCCTGGGGTCTTGAGGAGGAACACATCCCCAAACTTGGAGGCCGAAAGAGTGAATCACTGACTCCAGGCCACCCGGATGATAAGTGGAGAAGCCAACACTAGAGCCCAGTTCTTCAGAACTCCCAAGTCTGGTGTACCGTTCACTTTATCATGCCGCCTGTTATTTTCAGTAAATTGCAACTGGGCAAGGTACCACCTTCCATTTATAGCACCATCGTCTATTTCAGGAATATTGTCTGACATATGATATACTGAAGAATGTGAGCCCCTTGGAGGCTGAGTTTGCTAAAGATCGTGGCATGAACTGTAAAATTAAATTCAGGTAATGTTTCTGTGCTGATTTCTTTCAAGAAGTGCTGAGTGAATATGAAGACATTTTAGAAATGTGTTTTAAGTCCTCATACCTTCTCACTATATAACTGCAAAGTAAACATGTCTTTATTTACATTTATTATGCAAAGAAACTGAGGCATGGTTCTTGGGCCAAAGTTGCCTTGAGAGTAGCTCGTGTCCCATGATGTGCCCAGCCTGCCAGATATGAGAATAGCTGTGAGCATACACACCTCCTAGGTGTGGCTCTTTAATCTCCTGTAATCCATTTTATTACCAGTTTGTTCTAGCTCTCATATAGCCTTTATCCTGCATGCAGGAAACTATCTTAACCACAAGGGGGAGCCATAACTGACTCCCAAACCTGATTCCAAATGATACATTTTTGGTCTTTATTTCAGATTCAGTGGTGAAAAATTTCCGCCTTTTATTGTGTATAAAATTTTTCTACATACTGGAGGCCATGGCTACAAGTATTTCAGCGGAAGAAATACGGTAAAGCTGGCAAGTAAGGTAATGTTTCACACTGTATATTTTGTTATTTAGCTTCTTACACATCTTAATATCAATAACATAGATATATAGTATCTGGATTGCAGACTATACAGACTATTATTTCACCATTAAACATCCCAGCATGCAGTTAGTATTTTCTTAAGCATATGTTTCAAAGTGTCTCTGGTTATTAGCTAAAAAATATTTGGAATGATTACTTATATAAGGCTGTAGAAAATACACACCATTATTCTTAATATTAAATTTTTGGTTTGTTAAGACAGGGGTAGGTTAATAATAACTATAATAATTAATAATCAATAAAACACCTTTTAAATATAGTCAATAAATATACATATTTTAAATATAATCAATAAGATGTATTTTTATTGATTTCAGAGAGAAAGGGAGAGGAAGTGAGAATCATTGATCAGCTGCCTCCTGAATACCCCACACTGAGGATCGAGCCCACAACTTGGGCATGTGCCCTAACCAGGAATCGAACTATGACCTCCAGGTTCACAGGTCGACCCTCAACCACTGAGGCACACCGACATGGAAATTAAAAAAAAAAATTTTTAAAGAATAAATTCCGTTTCGCATATTCACAACTGTAAACCTACTTTTGCCGTCCCTGTAACGGACTAAAGTGACCTATTGGTCAGTGCTTTAGAATTATTCATAACCTTTGATTCAATTTTGTCTTAATAGCAGTTTATCGTTGTTTCTTAAAGTCTGGTAGCATATTTAGAAAAAGCCACGCTGGACTCTTGGAAATGAACTTTTAAAATATCCTTTTTTTAAATCTGAGTTCTTAACTTTTAAGTTTCATGAATATTCACCAAAATTGTCTGCAGCATAGGGATCACCTGAGGATCTTGTTAAAGATGCAGTTTCTGATTCAGTAGATCTGGAATGGGGCCTGAATCTAACCAGCTTCCATGGATCACACTTTTTTTTTTTTTTTAATCCTCACTTGAGGATATTTTCCCGTTGATTTTTTTAGGGAGAGTGAAAGAGAGAGGGAAAGACAAAGAGAAACATCAAATAGTTGCCTCCGACACAAGCCCCAATCAGGGCCTGGGCCAGGGAGGAGCCTGCAACCAAGGTATGTGCCCTTGACCAGAATCAAACCCGGGACTCTCTGGTCTGCAGGCCAATGCTCTATCCACTGAGCAAAACCAGCTGGGGCCCATGGGCTATACTTTTCTCCACCACCCCCCCAAATTATGCAGTCAAGTTCCCCACATTTAGGGTAGTCGCAGGGGTCAGCACATCCGGAGTGCAATGGATAAGCTCGCCCTGGGAAAACCGCCTTCTTGATCACGGTATCTCCCCTGCCAGGAAGTATGTTTTATTCTGTTGACCCTTATATATGGCTGTAATTGAGTTTTAAAAAATAAACATTCTAATATTTAGCCTTTTATTGTTGTTGTTGTTAATCCTCACCTGAGCATATTTTCCCCCATTGATTTTACAGAGAATGGAAGGGAGGAAGAGAGAGAGAGAGAAACATCAATGTGAGAGAGACATAGATTGGTTGCCTCCCACAGGAATCGAACCTGCAATGAAGGTACTTGCCCTTTACCTGAATCCAACCCAACGCTCTAACCACTGAGAAAAACCAGCTAGGACTCATATTTAGCCTTTTATAAACCATAAATCAAAGGTTCTTTTCCTGCCGAAACTGGTTTGGCTCAGTGGATAGAGAGTCAGCCTGCGGACTGAAGGGTCCCGGGTTCTATTCCGGTCAAGGGCATGTACCTTGGTTGTGGGCACATCCCCAGTCGGGGGCGTGCAAGAGGCAGCTGATCAATGACTCTCTCTCACTGATGTTTCTAACTCTCTCTCTCCCTTCCTCTCTGTAAAAAATCAATAAAATATATTTTTAAAACAAAGATGTATCCTATTTTTTTTTTTTAAAAAAAGGTTCTTTTCCTATTGCCTTCTGGAAGTATTTTACACGAAAAGTGTGGGCCACCTGAAGTAATCAGTAAAGGCATAAATTAAGGATAAAAGACCACACAGCCTGGCAGTTTCCGATCAGCTCCAACATGTGTACCATTTCTTCTCCCAAGAATATTAGAAGAGGGAAAGAGACTGCTTTTCTCTGTTCTCAGGCACTGTCGGAGAAAATTTAAGTCCGTTTCAGAAAAGTATCCAATGGATTATGTGTTTTCATATGGAACATGCTGTTTCAGAAACATTACTATTTTTCATGTACAGTATATAGGAGGACTTCCAACACAAAAGTAGATGTTTACTTTATGTGCATACCTCATTTATCTACAGAATAAGCTTAGAGTTGGCCCTAGAAAACAGCATCAGTTGCTGCTTTTCTGAGGTTACATAATGGGGCCTTTCCAGGAACTGCAATTCTCCTGGGTCAGCTCCCAGAGGCCCCTACTGTCCCCAGGCTGGAGCAAATGAGAACGTCCGACGCGTGACTGGAAAGCACTGTGTGTATATTAAAGCTTGTAGATGCTGTATAACAACTTCAGTTTTTATTCATATGACAAAATCACTGTTTTAAAAAAGGATATAGCATAGTTGTTTTTTTTTTTTAAAAAAAAAAAGGGGGGGGAAATGTGCCTTTATGGCTTCTCTGTGCTGCAACTTTCACTCGCCTGATGGTTAATGTTAACAGTTTGCTTTGTAGCCTTCATGTTTTTCTTTCTTTCTTTTTTTTTTTAAATCTTTATTGTTGAAAGTATTACATAGGCCCTCCTTTTCCCCCATTAACCTCTTCAAGCCCGCTCCCGTCACCCCTTCATGTTTTTCCCATAAAAATACACACACATGCTGAAACCAGTTTGGCTCAGTGGATAGAGCATCGGCCTGCGGACTGAAAGGTCCCGGGTTCGATTCTGGTCAAAGGCATGTACCTTGGTTGCGGGCACACGCCAGTAGGGGGTGTGCAGGAGGCAACTGATCGATGTTTCTCTCTCATCGATGTTCCTAACTATCCCTCTCTCTTCCTCTCTGTAAAAAATCAATTTTATATATATATATATATATAATTTTTTTTTAAATACACATTCAGATATTTTTTTAAAAAATATATAGCTTATTGCTTTTTTTTTTTTTTTACAGAGATGAAGAGAGAGGGATAGAGAGTTAGAAACATCAATGAGAGAGAAACATCCATCAGCTGCTTCCTGCACACCCCTACTAGGGATGTGCACTCATCCAAGGTACATGCCCTTGACAGGAATCGAACCTGGGACCTTTCAGTCCGAAGGCCGATGCCCTATATACTGAACCAAACCGGTCAGGACCACACAGATATATTTTTAAACATTTTTGTTCTTATTGTAAAAATGCAATCACATCATTCAGCTTGAGTTTTTCACTAAACGTTATTTTAAATGACGGTTTTAAATGACGATGACATACCCAGTTTGGAGAGCACAGTTTAGGGTTCCTGTTTCCCTTCAGTTCAGCTTCAAAACAAACTCTGGTAACACTTGGATTAATGATTGATAGAAGTGGAATTTTTCTCACTGTAAGTTTACTCAACTCCTTTGCTCTTTGAATGTAGAAATTGTGTCTTTAGCAAAGTGGCCCAACTTTTTAAGTTGACTTATTTCTTAACTAGAGGCCCGGTGCATGAAAACTCATACATTGGAGGGGGTGTCCCTCAGCCCAGCCTGCCCCCTCTCTCAGTCCAGCGGCTCTCACGGGCAGGAGGCGACCTGGCAATTAGGAGAAGGTGACACCCCATCACACCTCTGCTGCTGCCAATGCTGGCAGCAAGCCTCAGCTGGCCCTGGTTACCTGAGCCTTGAGCAGCCCTGGGAAGCTGAGCAGCCACCATCCAAGACTTGCCTGTACCTCGGAACAGCTCAGGGTGGCTAGGAGGCTGAAGGGACTAGGCACTGCTATCTTGTGGCTATGGGTGCCGCCATCTTTGAGGGCATGGCAGTCAATTAGCATATTCCCTCCTGATTGGCTGTGGGTGCTGCCATCTTTGAGGGCATGGCAGTCAATTAGCATATTCCCTCCTGATTGGCTGTGAGTGCTGCCATCTTTGAGGGCATGGCAGCAATTGGCATATTGTCTCTTGATTGGCTGTGGGCACTGCCATCTTTGCAATGTGTGAGGGTCAATTAGCATGTTCTCTCTTTACTAGATAGGATATGAAAGAAAGAAGTCAATTTTAGTCCACTCAGATGTTTAATCTAAGTTCATTTATGAAGGAGGTGTGTTTCACAGGTTGTTGTTGTTCCAGCTTTTCTCTTGTTTTTGTTGCCATTTCTAGTTTCATTTCCTTATCTTTCATGTGTTCACCAATAATAAGCGAAGACAAGTGAAAGGGTATAGAGTAGCCTAACAAACTTTGGAGAAGAAGGGAAAGTTAGAAAATTTACACTACCTGATTTTAAGACTTAAAAAGCCACAGTAATCCCAGCAGTGTAGTGATAACATATAAACATGTAGATCAATGAGAGGGAATAGAGAATTCAGAAACAGACCTACCCATAGATGACGAATTGATTTTCATCAAAGGTGCCAAGACAGTTCAAATGATGCAAGAACAGTTGTATAGTTGTGTGTTGCCGAAACCGGTTTGGCTCAGTGGATAGAGCATCAGCCTGTGGACTGAAAGGTCCCAGGTTCGATTCTGGTCAAGGGCATGTGCCTTGGCTGCCTGCACATCCCCAGTAGGGGGTGTGCAAGAGGCAGCTGATCGATGGTTCTCTCTCATCGATGTTTCTAACTCTCTGTCCCTCTCTCTTCCTCCTTGTAAAAAAATCAATAAAAAATATATTTTTAGGAAAAAAAAATACACAATTGTATAGTTGTGTGTAGAAAAAAAAGATCTTATTGCAGTTACCTACTTCGATGATCTATTTTCAGAGCAATACTTATTTACAGAGGGTTGTCACTCTGGTTAGTCGACCAACTATATTTAGAATATTCTAAAGCCTTGTGACTTACTCGGAGTGTGGCCTGCTGACCTACAACACTGGCATCCCTTGGAACTTACTAAAAATGCAGACTCATGCCCAGCCAGT